CTCTAGTATAGCGAGACGGCTCCAGGTTCCACGGCTATCTTCTCCAGCGCACCCATCCACGGGAACGTCACATTGGTGGCCACTTGGGTGGCGGCTTCTCGCGCCCGCGTCGAGCGCTCCTTCTTGAGCTTGCCGGCTCGGCTGGAGACCCTCTCGGCGAGTCGACGTTGCCTTGGCCCGCGCCCTCGGCGTGCACTGATGGAGCGCGTGGTGACTGGTGACGATGTCGCCTGAATCCCGATGATATGCCTCGAGACAGGACGGACCAACGAAGGACCCAAACTGGCCTCGGGGCCCGTGGTCGGCAGGGTTTCTCTCGGAAGGGACCCATCTAACATGCAGACTGGATCCAGTGGCCAGCGACAAGGCCGCGATGCGTCGGAGAGGGCGTCGGAGGCAGGAGGAGCGAGCGCGGCCCTTGACCGCCCCAAGACATAAAGGTTGATTGCCCACAATCGCCAAGACCCTCGACCCACGGGCACTGCGAGTTCTAAGGATGCGTCGGCACCCCAAGACAAGAGCACCACCCTAAGTTCGAGAATATTTGATTGGCGCCTCACGCGGGTCGCAACTACGGTGCCCCAGTGTTGTTCATGCATAATTTCCTTATCGATTTCGTCAAGGGTCGATGCAACATCTTCTATGATTGTTCTTATCTGTTTGGTCCCCGATAAGCGTGGCCCCCTAGACCTCCAAGCCCCGTCGAGGATGTTGAAATGCCCCACCTCGTCGGCGCCGCCCCCCCCGTTGGCGTGGTCATCGCCGCCGTCGGCAAGGCCGTCGTTGCCGATGAAGGGGCCGTCACCGTCGCTGGAGTACTTGACATAGTCTTCAGTAGAGCTGGAGTGGGGGGCCGAGGAGTCGAGGAGCGCATCGCTCCGAGCGTCGATGCACTGTTCGACCTTGAATTTCAATTTTTCGGAGATCCTGCCGAAGGTGCCCACCGCGGAGGGGCCTGCATGCCGCGCGCACACGCCTGGGCCGAAGGTCGAGGCGCCGGTCGCCAACGCAGTCGGGCGCCAGCCAGCGGACCAACGAACATTCAGCCGCGGCAGCAGACACCTGATGGACCACAATTCTCGTCGCACCGCGGGCCATGTCTCCACGACACGAGAGCGTAGCGCACCTGCAGTATACTGTAAACCTCTCTTCGGATCAGACCAGCCCAAGTAATATGTCCCAGAACGGCCCTCAAGAGGTACCCACTACAGCGGCGCCTTCGCAAAAGCGCCTCGATGGCAAACCGGAGTCGCCACAAGTTGCAATGTTTTTATGGAGACCTTGGCCCCTCCTGTAAGCTGAAGTCCGAAAAAACTTAGATCGTCGGCGCCTTCGTCTACCTCGTGTAGAACCAAGACCTTCTGTTACAAAATATCCAGGATCTCCCCCAGACGTTCGTCGGCCCTGTGTTTGTCGGCCCCGATAGTCAAAGCGTTATCGACATACCCAGCCACGCCCACGCCAGACCCCTTGATCACCGCGGCAGGCAACCCATCCAAGACAGTCAGGGACGTCGGGATCTCTGCAGACGCAATGGCGTGTCGGACGACACTCTGACAGAGAAGAAGAGACCAATACAAACCCATCGGAAGAACACATAACTGCGGAGCAATGCGGGTGTTGGGGCGGAGGCGTTGCCCATTCAGCTCCCTGAGCCCTGGGCGACGACCTGCTGCGACCGGCAGTCGGAAAAACCGTCGCAGAAAGTTGGCAAGCCCATCCTGTAGAAAGCTGCATTGATGTCTCCAGTCGCCACGTAGGCCTGGCCGTCGGTCTCCACCTGACTCAGAGACGAGGCTGTCGGGAGTCTGGTGGATAGCGTGTCCTTGAACGAGAATTTGCAGGCGCGGGTGCCGAAGATAACGCGGATCTTATTATCCCTTTTGGCAACGAAAAACACACCAGGATTGTGGGGCGTCTCCGGGGCCAGTCCACTCGAGCATCCCGCGATCGGAGAGGAGGGATAGGAAGTCGGAGTAGGTGGTAGGGTTGTTCTTCAGGAAGGGGTCCACGTAGGGCTCCCGGGGGGCCCAGTTCCTGATGTTGGCTAGAAGCCTCATTGGCATCCTTGAGCAGGTCCACCTGATAAGAATACAACCAAGTAGAGTCGCCTGGAGATAACATCGTCGTCGCACAGGCCGCAGCGGCCTGGTCGGGGAGGGCAAGAAACTGCCAGCTGTATGGCCTCCTAGTGGACCCGGACCCGTTGCCATACAGTCCTGAGGCCGTGCAGATCTCGCGCAGAGATCCCGCGCCTGTAGCAAGGTCTGGTGGGGCAGCAGATGTACCAGAATAGGACTCGCGAGTGTGCTTCAGCGCGTCGCGTTGACCAATATTCTTCGCACCCGCCGAGCAAGCCTCCGTCCTCTCTCCCACCATAGCACTGAGACGTGATATTCCTTCGTTAGCCCAGGCACGATACTACTGCACACGCTTGCGCCTCCGCTGCACACTGCGAGACGCGATCAAAAATGTCTGCTGCTGGCCCACCTCCTCTTGCAAAAAAGGCGAAGGAAAGATGTCCCTCTCACGATCACCACAAGCGCGCTTACCTGCAGGGTGCGACAGCCCCAGCAGCGGCGGCACGGGATGAAGCTCGGCAAACGGGCGAGCCTCACGCTCGAGGCCAGGGGGAGGAGAGGTATGTACAATAGGGACGGCAGGAGTCGAGCAAGACCGGCCTGCAGACCTGGCCACCGAAGAAAGGGGCGGCGGGCGGCTGCCTCCCGCCGCCCGAGGGGACGCAGCCATCGTCTGTTCCGTCCTTCTTGCCCTTGTTCTTAGCTTTGGCAGAGACCCTCTCCTCACGAGCCTTGCGCCTCTCCTTCATGACGGACACCTCCTTTTGGAGCTCCAGCGACACCCACGACTGTAGAGCCGGGCGCGCAGCGACGTTCCCTCGCACGTGGTCCAAGCCCATGTACAAGAAGGCATCCTGTGTCGTGTCACCTCCTCCACCCGCGAACGCGGGCATCCTGTCGCGGCACCTCTCCTCTGAGAGCTCAATCGATCGGGACATGATCTCGGCGGCGGCGATGTCCGGCAAATTCAGTTGCTCGAGCGTTGCCATACTCTCGAGCATCTGGCAGCACATCAAATGGTTCTCTACGCCGCCGTCGTTGTTCTGCAGCTTAGCGTCCGCCTTCCGTCTCGCGTGCCTGCCGAGAGGGGTCTGGCCGTTGGACACCATGAAGCGGCAGAGCCCCAACGTAGTCCGAGGGCCGCGCGCCGGGAAGTCATTGAGCGGAGTCACAATCATCCCCTCCACCGCGAATCGAAACTCCCGAAAGCGGCCCCCAGAAACGTCGTGGCTAACAGGCTGAATGCGGACGTCGACCACGGGCACGGCGGCGGCAGCGGCCACGGCCACCGCAGCCGCTCCGGCTACAGCACCCCTCCATGGCCGACAGCCGGCGGCGGAGCCGCCATGACAGGCCCTGCAGGCGCGCCGACACCCATGGCTGGTGCGACAGCGGCGGCAGCAGCAGCACCTCCAGCTCCTCCGGCTCCTGCAACGCCTCCGACTCCGGGAAGGCCGGGCGCAGGTCCCAAGGCGGCGGCAAGCCCCCCGAGGCCGCCACCAACTTCAGGAACTGGGGCGGCAGCAGCTGCGGGCGGCGCGGCTCCGGGAAGGGGTCCTCCACCACCGGCGGCGCGACCTGCGAGGTTGGGTTGCTTCTCGTCAGCAAGCACTGGAAGTCCACGTCGCGCGGCCGCCGCGGCCCGAGCAGCAGCGAACACCGCCGGGGTCCGCACGTTCTGGAAGCGGTAGACGGGCACCGCGATTCCACCCGCTCCAGGTGGGGCTGCGCCACCACACGCACCTCCGCCATCAAGCCGAACCACACGATATCCGCGCCCTGCAACCAGTCCTCCTCGTAATTGTCCCCATCTGGGGTCAGCACACTCACGGTAGTGCCCGCACCGGGCTCGATCAGCACCTGACGTTCATGGAACAGCGGCGCCCCGGGCACGTTGTACTGCGCGGCGAGTTCCCCAGCCTCGATCCCGAGGCCTTGCACCGGCGGCGGTACCGCCGCAGCCATCTCAGGCCTGAGAGCGACGTTGGCGGAGCAAGTGCAGCTGCTCCTGGGCCAACGTCCCGATGCTCACCCCCTGGTCCACAATGGCGGGCTGCGTCTCGCCCTCTTGCGTCGATGTGGTCGTCCGCGGTGCGCTGCGAAAGCCGCCCACCGCGAGGAGCGCCGCCGAGCCCAGGCAACCACAGCTCGCGATCGCCAGCAGCCCAGCCACCAGCGCCAGCCAGCGGAGGTCCGGGAGGCCGAACCCGCTACCGCTGACCTGCGACGCCGCGATGGGCGCAGGGGCGCCCGGGCAAGCAGGACAGGCGGGCAGTGCTGGAATCGCGGGGCACTGCGGACACTCGGGACAGGGAGGAGGTCGAGGGCAGGAGGCGAAGTAGGTGAGGGAAGCCTCCCAAGCCCACGCGACGGCCTGCGCCCACATCCGAGATCGCCGAGGCGATCTCGGAAAAGCTTGAGCCACAACGTTGTGCGGCCCCGCTCTCCCCACTCCCACTTACTGCATTTCATCAAACCATAACAATAATAATCAACATACGAATAATAACACTTATGATAATCGTGTTCATTAACATAAAAAACGAAGTATACTAATAATAGTAATGCTAATACGAATCATACTGCTAATAATAATAATACTATTAATACGACTAACAATACGAATGATAATACGAATCGAATAACAATGATATTGATACGTTTAATAATCATCGTCGTAATGATAAGAGGAACACTAATAATAACAACAACATCAACCATACTACAAGTGATACTAATGCTACTTATAAAAATAAGAATAACAGAAATAATAATAACATGACTAATACTAATAGTAGTAGTAATAATATTAATAACACTAATAAAAAACTAATACTCATAATCATGATAATAATACTAATGATAGTAATACTAGTAGTAATACTAATAACAACAATAATACTAATAATAAATAGATAA